GAGGTTCTCCAGCCCTCTGATCATCTTTGTGGCCCTTCTTTGGACTTGCTCCAACAGGTCAATGTCCTTCCTATGTGGAGGGTCCCAGAGATGGACACAAAACTACAGGAGTGTCTCACAAGAGCAGAGTAGAGGGAGAGAATGACCTCCCTTGCCCTGCTGGCAATAGTTCTGGATACAGTTTGCTTTCTGGCTGCCGGCACACCCTGCTGGTTCATGTCCAGCTTTTAATCCGCTAGTACCTCCAAATCCTCCTCAGGGCTGCTCTCCAGCTATTCTCCAGTGCCCAGCCTGTGCTTGTGATTGCCTCAACCCATGTGCAGGACCTTGCACTTGGCCTCGTTCAGCCTGGTGAGATTGACACAGGCCCACCTCAGCCTCAAGGTCCCTCTGGATGGTATCCTTTCCCTCCAGTGTGTTGACTGCACCACACAGCTTGGTGTCACGTGCAAATTTCCTGAGGGTGCACTCAATCCCACTGTCTGTGTTGCTTGAATAGTGCTAGTCCCAATACCAACCCCTGAGGAATGCCACTTGTCACTGGTCTCCACTCAGACATTGAGCCGTTGACCACAGTTGTCTTGAGTGCAACTGTCCAGCCAAATCCTTACCCACCAAGTGGTCCACTTGTCAAAGCCATGACTCTCCAATTTAGAGACAAGGATGTCATGCAGGACAGTGTCAAACACTGCACAAGTCTAGGTAGATGACACTGGTTGCTCTTCCCTTATCCACCAACACTGTAGCCCCATCAGAGAAGGCTACCAGATTTGTCAGGCATCATTTGCCTTTGATGAAGCCATGGTACCATTGCCTTCTGGGGGCGGGGGTGGAGGGACGCAGGATGGCTTGTGCCCTTGCCAGTGAAGACTGAGGCATAAAAAATCATTCAGGACCAAGGCCTTCTCCATATCCTGGGAAACTAGCTCTCCCATTTCCTTCTAGAGAGGGCCCACATTTTCCCTGATCTTTCTTTTATCCCCTGTGTACCTATAGAAGCCCTTTTGTTGGCCTTGATGTCCCTGACCAGGTTTAATTCTGTCAGGGCTTTAGCTTCCCTAACCTGATCCCTGGCTTCTCAGACAGTTTCTCTGTAATCCTCCCAGGCTCCCTGTCCCTGCTTCCACGCTCTGTAGGCTTCCTTTTTGTGTCTTAGTTTGTCCAGAATCTTCTTGTTCATCCATGCAGGCTTCATAGCATTTTTGCCGTGTTCCTCTTCATTGGGATGCAGTGCTCCTGAGGTGGTAAGAAGACATGCTTGTATACTAGCCAGCTTTCTTGTGCCCATCTTCCCTCCAGGGCTTCATCCCATGGAACTCTGCCAGTCAGTTCCCTGAAGAAGCCAAAGACTGCTCTCTTGAAATCCTGGGTAGCAAGCTTGCTGCACACACTCCTCACCTCCTTAAGGATCTCAAACTGCTATTTCAATGTCACTGCAACAAAGGCTACCCTTGAGCATCGTATTCCCTACCAGCCCCTCCCTGTTGCTGAAAACAAGGTCCAGCATGGCACTTCGTCACAAACTGCTCCAGCATAAGTCCTTTCGATGGAGTGCAGTCCTTCAGGAACAGACTGCTCCATTGTGAGTCCTTCATGGGGTCACAGGTCCTGCCAGAAGACCAGTGTGGGCTCTTCTCTCTGTGGGTCCACAGCTCCTGCCAGGAGCCTGCTCCAGCATGGCCTTCCCACAGCATCATAGCCTCTTTTGGGTGCATCCACCTGATCTGGAATGGGATTCTCCATGGGCTGCAGGTGGATCTCTGCTCCACCATGGGCTGCAGTGGGACAGCCTACCTCATCATGGCCTTCATCACGGGCTGCAGGGGAATCCAGTGCTCTGGCTCCTAGAGCACCTTTTCCCCTTCCATCTTCACTGACCTTGGTGTCTCTGGCAAGCTTCTCTGCTTTTGTTCTAGCCTTTGGATTTTCATGAGACTTTTGCTAAAAGATGTCCTAGAGAAAACAAACTGCACATTGAAACTATGGAAAATATGCATTCATACAGGACTGAAAGCAAGTGGAAGTCTGACTTTTTTAGACTTTATTTTTTCCTGATTTTATGTCAGTTCCAAGAGTTGTGGATTTAAAAATAAATTTGATGAATGTAATTTTGCTGTTGGTACTTTTTTTTTTTGACAGTACTTTAGTCAGTATGGTGTTCTGCACCTCTACAGGGTTCAGAACTTTCTATGTACATTTACACTGACTTGTATACCCCACCTAGTAAAACCTTGATTACCTATTGATGATTGTACTACAGTGCTCAGTAGCAGACATTAATTTCAATTCAGAAACATACCAAAATCAGTCTTGAAAAACCTTCTTCCTATTTTGACTTCAAGTAATATAAATCTGTTACCTGGCAGAGGTATTGCAGACTCTTTCTCCATCTACTGCTTTTCTGAATGGGTCTTCACTGCCATGGAAAACATAATCTCTTTTTTTTTTTTTTTTTCCAGATGACTACTTTGGGCAATCTTACACCCCCAAGCACTGTATTTTTCTGTTGTGATATGCAAGAGCGATTCCGGCCAGCAATCAAGTACTTTGGTGATATCATCAGTGTGGGCCAACGACTGGTATGTTTCTTGCTTGTTCATCACACATGTAAATTATTATTTTATACACAACCAGCTTACTGGTTATTCAGTTTCAGGTAATAACATGTCTTTGCTGTTATCATTCTTTAATAATTTCTTGTATGCTTTCCTCCTTGTCCCCTTGCAGCTCCAAGGTGCACGGCTCTTAGGAATTCCAGTTATTGTAACTGAACAGTATCCAAAAGGTCTTGGCAGCACTGTGCAAGAAATAGATTTAACAGGAGCTAAACTTGTGCTTCCCAAAACAAAATTTTCAATGGTGTTGCCAGAAGTTGAAGCAGCATTAGCAGAGATCCCTGGAGTCCGCAGTGTTGTCCTGTTTGGAGTAGAAGTATGTGCCTTGCCATTCTCATACTGTTTCATGGTAATGTCTGTTGGCTGACAATAAAATTAGGAATATAATTTTATTCTGTAATAAAAAAGATCAATTTATATTGCTTAGACCCCAGATATCCTCTGCAGATTAAATTATTCTTGTGTTGCCTTTGGTAGTATCTCATAATAAAATTTGAAATGAGATATTTGTAAACTACAGGCTCTTGTCTTAAGCTTGATTGGCATTTAAAACCTGTGTTGAGTTCCCTAGTAATGTTGGGTAAAAAAATAATTAATGTACTCTAATTTTGCATTGTGATATTCACGTTTTATAATAATTTTTTGTTGGTGGGGTTTTTGCCTTTTAATTTGCTCCCCTCTAGACTCATGTCTGCATCCAGCAGACAGCATTGGAATTAATTGGCAGAGGTTTGGAAGTTCATATCGTAGCTGATGCCACCTCATCAAGAAGTATGATGGACAGAATGTTTGCTCTTGAGGTAAGTTTCTTAGTCAAGGCTTTCTTCACCTTGTGTGTGTATGTTAGTTTCCCTGCTTATTTTAAGTTAACCGGGCATTTCTGATAACAGTAAGTGGTAGACAGGTGTAGACTTGAGAAGAGATGCATGCTGTGGTTCTCAGAATAGCTTCCAGAATGGAGAAACACTCGTTTATTTTTACTTCCTATATTATGATTAAATACGTGAATCCCAGTTTGGGACACTTGAGTTTTAAGTGATTGTTCTGTACATTCTAAGTTACTCTGTATAACCGTTAGCCTGTTAGGATATTTTCTTATGGAGTGTTACCTTTACAGAAGAGTAAAAGTGCTACAGAGCTTTTGGTTTTGTTGTTCCAAATAGTATTTATTCTGCTGTTGAAATTCCTTGAAATGCAATAGAATATAGAAAGTGATCCTGTTCAAAGGTCCTTCTTGTATGTCTGTCCCCCCCTCTGCTCTTCTTTATCAGTGCAAATTAAATCTTAATCTCAAGACCCTGTGATTATAGTAAAGACGCATACACCCGCACTCCCCCACCCCTGCCCTTTCTAGGAACTTAGTCTAATTAAATGTTGAGAAAGTGGAGATAAATGTAACAAGATTATTTAAAAGCATGTAGCAGCATGTGGTAGCAAATTCATACAGAAGATTTTTTGATAGTGTACACTAACTTGCCTACAGGCATTACCTTTGGAAATCAAAGTCATATACATTAAATATTGCAATTCTTGTCTTAGGGTCTAACAATTACGTAGAAGTTGAGACTAATAATAACTACAGTATTTTGTACTTTTTCCATTGATTTGGAGAAGACTTTTAATTCTGTTTCTCATGAATAAGAGAATTAAAGGCTAAAGGGAAATCACCCGCATACACTGTTTGATGAAACCCATGACTTTGATTAAGTGGAAGCTTAATGTTATCTGTCACGTAAAGCATGGTGACGCACACAGAGTGCAGGAATGACTGAAATCACGGACTTCCCTGGTCAGTGTGGTGCAGCAGCAGTACTAGACAAAATAAATATAGAAAACCTGAAATCTCTTTGCCTTATTGTGTGTTTCTCTGTACCTTTTTTATCGCTTATACTGTGTCTGTAAGTGTAGAAGTTGGTTCAGTGTAATGGAGGTTAAAGCAGTGACTAGCTAGCTTTGCTTTTCTTTCTAGTCAAAAAGATAATCAGTCATCTTAAGAGCATGTTTGGTTGCAAAAGCTGTCATCCAGACAAATTGGTCAGTTTTAGGTAATTTTTTAGTATGTCTTTGCAATGTTTCCTCACCAAGCATGAAGAAAATGTTTTGCTGTGGTCCCTTGGGTAGTCATCATCAAAATAGGATTCAGGAGATGTTTGCTGGCTTCCTGTGATGAACAGCATGACAAAATTACGGCAGTAACTCCTTCTTCTCTGTGGCTATGCATGCCAACATTGTCTCCTTTTTGTGCTGTAGAGCCTCTATTAAAAATGCTGCTGAGGGCAGTTGGGCTAGAGCAGGCAAAAGGTGGGCCCTCGTGGGAGCCGGAGACTAGGAGAAAGGGGTACATGTACTGGGCACATCAGTAATCCTGATTGACCATGATGATGCCTTTCTTAGGGAAGTACATACCAAAGTATTGGGTAGTCCTGCTTTAGTCACACTGTACAGCTGACAGTTCTAAGCAAGCTTTTTTAATTTTCGAGTCTGATATTGTCTGTTGTGCAAACTTGCTCCATACATGGTGAACTGAGGTGAAGTTCATAGATCTGGGTTCCCTGGGTCCTTCTCCTTACCTTTCTGGGAAGGTGGTGTATGATTTACCTGTTCTCAGTAACACAGCCCTCTTCTGTTCACAGTGACCTTTCAACGAAGATAAAGAATGACCTTGCAGTGGTAACAACCATATTCCTCAACAACCTTAAATAAATCCCATCTGTTCCCACCTGTCCCTTCAGTTTTCCACATTTACCCTCACACAGCATGTGTTTTGATGGTGCTGGTGATGAGCATGCACATACCTGAACAGGTGCACTGGGAAGTGCAGTTTGAATTAAGTGATAGCCAAAGCGTTCATGCTTGCCTGGATGACCCTAAAGAGTTACTGTATCTGCTTCTGTTATGCACTTCAGAATGGTAGGAGGCAAAAATTTCCAATTAAAAAAAAAATCAAAACTTCCATTGATGAAATAATTCAACCCAACTGGCCAAGATTGTGTCTGTTCTTAGTCTCTGCCATATCTGATGAAGATGCCTTGTGTCACTGCTTTGTCTTGGATTGAGTCAGATTAGTCTGTTCCTGGTGGATTTCTTTTCTGTTATGCATCTGTTCTACTTGTTCTTGGTGAGGATGCAACACACTTGCTGGTTTCCTTTGTCAGAAAGACTGTGTGCTAAGAAAACTTTTCCTTTCCTTGCAAATATCCAGTATGCTTTGCACATGTGTCTCTTCATTCTTACTAATCTCAAAACTGTATAAATTATACTTAGTCCTAGAAGTAGAATATAAGCCAGTGACAGCCTCTTCGATATGTTATGGTATGTTTTGCTACTGAAGAGAAGACAGTTACTTTTTTCAGTCAGCATTTCTGAGAAGGCAAGGTTCTTTAAGAGTCTGTTTTTTTTCTGTCACCCATACTTGTTAAAAGCAAAAACTTTGTATTCCTGGAGAAGTACATTGTAAAAACATTGCCATAATATTTCATTCTGATTTTCTTATTTTTCTCTTTTGTATGTGTATGTGGTTTAAAAAAATACGGTGTTGCACAGAGCAGGAGAGCTAGGGAAGCCATCAGCTTTGTTTCAGCTTAAGAGTATTTCAAGGCTTGCTACCATTATTGCAAGTGGGAAGCATTGACTTGAGTAAGTCTAGCCTAGTTAGTGTATCATTATATACACTGTACTTACATATACTTTACTGATTCCTTAAAATTAATAACTTTCCTCCATCAATTGCTTTGTAATTGAACAACTAAACAGCAATGATAGTCATCTCCCCTAGAAAGTTTGGAGCTTTTATTTCATCTAGTAGTTACAATTGAAGCCTGTCTGAAGGTGTACGTATCTGTATTTTCTCCCTCTTGCCCTCCTTTGGCTCGTTCAGGACCCCCTTAGATTTGGTGGAACATGGAGCTGAGTAGAGGATGATGGAGGGAAAGCTGGATCCATGAAGTGTTTTACTGCCAAAGCATCTGCACAATTGCTGGGAAGCTGACGGGGAGGCAGGGGGTGGTCAGCCTTTAATTAAAGATAACTTTTCTATGTAGACAACCACAGTCTTAAAAGTTCAGAAAACTTTGTACTAAGTCTTGTGGCTTCGGCTACATGAAACATTGCTCTATTTAGTTGCACACTTCCAAGATCCAGCAGACCTCTTTCAGTTTTGATTTCTATGCAGTGATGCTCTTTATTCTATAGCCTGTATACTATAATAACGTATAGATTAAAAGGAGCTGCTGTTGTATCAGTATGATTTATAAGGTCTGTGGAACAGCTTTTCATTCTGTCTCCTGAGATTACTAGCACTAACATACTGTGCAGCCCAAGAGCCAAAGTACTAGTACATAACAAGCTCTGAAAGAGAAACTGTTACTATTAAGTTTCTTGCTTGATGCCTTTAGCTTGGACCTCGCTATTTTCTTTTTCCCCAGGCCTTTCCAATCTGTATAAGAGTGAAGAAAACTATTGATGGGACCATGCAAAGGGAAAGGGTTGTTAATATAAGAAGGGATGGGTCTTCTGCGTATTAAATCTGACATGGGGAAAGAATCCAGTCCAAGTAGGAAGCCTTATTTATAATCCGGTGCAGCCTTTTTGCTCAGTAAAGTCTATAAACAGTCATTCTCCATCCTAGATTTATAAACGCATCGCTACGAAATGCTGGAATGGAATTAGCAATACTTTTGTTAGTAGGTATTTTTAAAAATACTGTCCGTTTTTTACAAAATGTATACTCATTCACATTTGCAAGTATCTCATGTTATTCTCTCTTTGCTCTTCTCTCTTTCAGCGTCTTGCTCGTACTGGAATTATAGTTACTACTAGTGAAGCTATATTGCTGCAGCTGGTAGCTGATAAAGAACATCCAAAATTCAAAGAAATCCAAAATCTCATTAAGGCGAGTGCCCCTGAGTCAGGGCTCCTTTCCAAAGTTTAAAGAGCATGTGGAGGAAGTGGATCTCATTGTCATCTTCAAGGGGGAAGCAAAGCTGTAAGCGCACATGTACCCCTCTTTCACGCAAAGTTTGGCAGAAGTGTAAAATTAATAATAGACATACTCGTGCTTGCCTTAGCAAAATTGTCTGGTTGTACATCTGGGTGCCAGTAGGTTCTGTTTAGTTACAGGTATCAGGCTTTGGGTGCCATAGGACCCAAATTTGTTATCAAATTTCCCTATTTATTAAAAAAAACCCAAAAATTAATAGAGGTGCCTACTCGTCTCTACTATACACCGATTTTAACAGCTCCAAAAAGTGCGTATTTGCAACACCTCTTGATTGTGCACTTTGTAAAAGTTCTGTGATACTCTGTTTCATTTTTGTATTAATAGAAGATGATTACGTATTGGATAAATGTGGTGTGATATGCTTTAATGTTCCATGTAAAGGAAATATGTCAAGGAAATATTTTAATAGTGCATAAGTTAAAATCAACTAAGATATATGGACTACATGTGCACTTCCGTTCTTTAGAATAAGATTTTAAGCACTTTGCTTCGTAGACAAGACATAGATCAAGCAGCAGCTGATGTTCAATTGCTCTAGGTAGCTGAAGCCTTGATTATTCTGAAATGGAGTGCCCAACCCTGTACTTCACTTTAGTGTACACAAACAGAAAAATGTCATTCAGTGACTTCTTATTTTAAAAAAAAGGTGTAAAGTCCTTCAGAACTAATGGAAGATTACCAAAACTTTAAATAAATTGTTAATGGTAAGGATTTTAAAGAACAAAAACTTTGCAGCTTCGAGTGGTGAATCTACTTCTATATTTAAATTTATTTTGTGGGGTTTTTACTCCTTTTTAGCTATATTGAGTAATTCCACCTGATTTACTCATGGTTAAGTAAGCTCTGAAAGAAACCTTATCGTCTCTAGGCTTTTGTGCTTTTTTTTTTTATGGGCTGCAGTTGGGCAGAGTTTGAATGGAATTTGGCCTAATGCATTCTTCATAAAAGCTTTTCCTTTGTGTTTCAATGGTTTAAACAATGTATAAAATTTAAAGTGTGACTGAGACATTTAGATTTCTTAAGAGTACTAGAAGTTGTCATACTGAACACTGATCTTTTGGTAGAAAACCAATTAGAGTACATGTATTGTTTCAAATGGCTTATTTGCTCCCCAGAAGATGGCTCTAAAATAATTGTTTCAGAGAGTTAGAACCTTTATATGTTCAAACCAAATAAAATGTTAAGATTTGTGTTCTCTCATATAGTTGTGATATTTATTGAAGAGCAAATCCTGAAAGATGTGTTTGCCATGGACCTTAATTCTGTTTTGTGCAGCTGTGGAATTTCTATAGATGTCATGGTAATTTTATGTATAGACCAAGGGTGGATAATGTCTAATAGTTCATCTGCATCTAGAGCTCCAAAATACAAGGAATTAACATTATGCTTCAAGTTGGAGGCAGAACAGCAGGGTGAGTTGGAGAACCGTTGTCCTGTATCACTGACCTTCTTTTCTGTTTTATTAATCATGTTGCCTGGCAGTAGAAAGTCCACTTACATAAATCAACATCTGTGCACAAAAATACTAATAAATTTCTTATGAAATTATGGTTTTATTGCTTTCTTACCTTCATGTTTTGATGGTACCTAGATTTTCAAATTCAAAGAAAAATGACAACAAGGTTTTTTACACATTTGTTTTGGAACAATATCACTTTCCTCAGTAAGAAATACATGAAGTTTTGAGAGATAATTGTATTTGTTACCAAAAGTTTACCATTTTTATATGGATATTACTTGAAGGACAGGTGTTACAAGTTCCTTTGTTGCCAAGTCCTTTCCTAACTAACATTATTACACAAGGAGAATCATTTGGTAGCAACAGGGCACTAGAAAAGAATCCATTAAATACATTGATATTATCTGCAATGATTTTACTAATTTTTTTCTTTTGTATTTGCATAGTCTTCTGTGGCAAACCAGATTTTTGTGTTGGTCCTTTATTTCACAGAATCATAGAATGGTTTAGGTTGGAAGGGACCTTAAAGATCATCGAGTTCCAACCCCCCTGCCATGGGCAGGGACACCCTCCACTAGACCAGGTTGCTCAAAGCCTCATCCAGCCTGGCCTTGAAGACTTCCAGGGATGGGGTATCCACAGCTTCTCTAGGCAAGCTGTTCTGCTACTTCACCACCCTCTCTGCCATGAATTTCTTCCTGATGTCCAATCTAAATCTACCCTCGTTCAATTTAAACCCATTACACCTTGTCCTATCACTACAGGCCCTTGTAAAAAGTCCCCCCCTCACCCACGTCCCAGAGCCTTTTCTCTCCAGGCTGAATAAGCCCAGTTGTTTCTGCCATTCTTCATAAGAGAGGTGCTTCAGCTCTCTGATCATCTTCGTGGCCCTCCTCTGGACTTGCTCCAACAAGTCCAGGTCCCAGTTTGTCTGTTTTTTCATAAGCTTAAAAAATAAAAATGCAGAAATACCTATGTATTATGCTGTAAAACTGTGCTCTTACATGTGCATTAAGGGGCAGAATGATTGAAGTCTTTCTCCTTTATTAGGTGGGTGCATTAATCAGCATCGCATGAATCATTCAGATTAGATTCTAAGCGTATTAAAAAGATTAGAAAAAGTATTGCGATATTGCTGTCATGTAAGGTAAGTTTTTTCACAGCAAAGAATTTCCTTTGCTTCTTCATGCTCTAAGTCATCTATATTTTCTGTTCTGACAAGCGGGTTTTCACATGCAGTAGAACAGCAGAACTGAGCCTTGTGAGAAGAGGTCTGCAGGCTGTTGCATTATCTAGTGTAAGTACTGTTACGCCCTGTGTGGATATGAAATAAGTTAATGAATTAACATGGAGGAGAATTGCTTAGGAATATACTCGGGTGGTTGTGAAGAAGCCGAATTCATCATTGTCTAAGTGCCAAGCTGTCCTTTATTTGAAGACTTCACCACAGCTATGTCTAAGCAGCATGAGTGCCATCTGCTGTAGGTGGCTTCAGCGTGATTTCTCTTTCCTAGGGGAGCAGAAGGACAGTCCTTGATGGAGAAGGCTAGTTTATTTTTCTTGGTAGGTGCTCTCTTCTGTGCAAAGTTGCTGATGTGTTGTTAGCCTTACTGGAGTAACTGGTGTATAAATTCTATGATAAATCTAA